CGCGCGCGCCCGCGCCCCCGCGTGCACGCGCGCGCAGCGCTGTGCGTATGCTGCACGGACATTCCGTTATTATTGCGCGCACGTAGGCCCTGGATCCCCCGCGGGCGCCCCCCCGCCCCCCGCGTCGACCAGGGGCCGACGGTGGATATGGCACTAACGTTCACATGCGACGCGATTGCAATTTGCTCAAGCTGCCAAGTGGCTCCGCAAACTCTCCCTCATCATCCCCTTTTCCTCCCCCCTCGTCCTCCTCCTGCTCATATCCCATCCTCTTCATTTCCTCCTCCGCCTCGTCCCCTTCCATCCTTCTCTGTTCAGTTGCGCGCGAGCATCGCCTGCCATGTTGCGCACAGGTCGCCTTGTCCGCGCGCGGGATAAGGTGCAGCAATGCATTCCGTCGTACCAAAAGTTCGCTGACAACGCTACATGGTTGTTGATCGGACCTTCTGAAATCCATTGCGCTGTGATATTGCGCGCCGCGGGGTGCGCGGGATGACATTGCAGGCGCAGGAATCATGATGCGCCGCATGCATGCCTCCATCTCCTCCTCCTATCCCCCCCCCCCGTTCCTTGCGAGCTGAGCGCGCGACCGCTTGACCCCGAGGAACTTGGCCCGCGCGTTCCCCCCCGTCGTCGCCCCCCCTTTCTTCGCGGGAATACAGCGACGGGACTTCGGGGGCGCGTCTTGCGATTCAACCCCCCCGCCGCCCAGCAGCCGCATCGTGGGTTTCTGATTCGCCGAATTTGTTTTGGCGCTGGGGCGTTCGGCCCCCCGCGCCCTGATGTTCCCCCTCCTCCTCCATAATTATTCAATATGAATGCTACTCTCCTCCTCCCCCTGATGACGGGTTGGGGGCGTTCGCCCCCCCCTCCCCTCCCCCGCGCATTTTTTTTTTGCGCGCGCAGGATTCCCTGGAGTTGGGTTTTCGCTTGTTTTTTTTCAGCATGTTGTTTTCGCTGAGGCGCCGGCTTCATTTTCGGGCACTGCTCGTTCCGACTCGCGCCCCCGCTGCAGCGCTGGCCTCATGTCCATGCTTCCGCTCGTTCCGAATCGTGCCCCCGCTGAAGCGCTGGCCTCATTTCCGCGCTTCCGCTCGTTCCGAATCGTGTTCCCGCTGCAACGTTGGCGTCGTTTCCCGTGCCGTGCCACGGCGCGCAACGCAATGCTAGGTTGCGTTCCGCTGCGCGATGCCATGCCTTCAGCTGAAGGTGTGATATGCAGCGCTGAAGTGCCTCGTCGCGCTATGCTATGCTACGCTTAGATCTTCAACGCCATGCTATGCAATATTATGCTCGGGGCCGCTGTGCGATGCCATGATTTGCGTTGCAAAGCTTTGCGATGCAATTCTTCACTACGCCACGCCGCGCCACGCTGTGACACACGACGCTTTGCGGTGCTTTTCTACGCCATGCCATGCCGTGCTCTACAATGCATCGCGTACCCGTTCGGGATCATTGCCCTGCTCGACATCCGACTGCGCGAGTAGCGAGGGGATCTACGCCATGGTAAGGGAGGGGGGGGGGGGGGGGGGGCCAGGATGTCAGATATGACACGAGCGCACCTAGCTGGTCCTCCTCCTCCTCCTCCTCCTCTTCCTCGTCCTCCTCACTCCTCCTCGTATTCCTCGTCGTCGCCCTCCTCTTCCTCTTCCACTTCCTGTCTTCTCAATCGTCGCGGCGCCCAACCCAATGCCGCGGCGACTTAACTCCGCAGTTAAGTCTGCGCTTGGCTGGGGCGCGCGGCGTGGGAATGAATCTCTTAACTCCAGAGTTAATTCGTGTAGTAGCTGGTGCGTCCGCCAGCTCGGCGGCGACTGAACTCAGGGGTAAAGTTTTCCGCGGGGAGGCCTTTGCCCCGGAGTCGGGCCGACTTAACTCCGGAATTAAGTCTTGTATAACCCCCCGGTTTCGGCCGCTTCCCTCCAGCGCCTGCTTCGGTCAAGAAGGGCCCGACCAGCGTCGAGATCAAGGGGTGGGCGGAGGACTGGGCCAATCCAGGCCCGACCAGTGCCGCTCGCCCGAAGGCGATCCAGGTTCTCAATGATTTCTGCTCTTCCGGTGGACAAACGGCACGTGGTCGACGCGACCAGAAGCTGCCAGTGCGCGCAGAAACCGCCACTAGTCAAGATCGTGATCAACGCGCAGGAAGGCACCTCAAGGGACGGGGCGCGGCGGCTCTATCGCTCATATTCCCCAAACCGACGCCGCGGCGCCACTTGCAGCAACGCGGCATGGCGCTGCGCGATAGAGCGCGGTCCGGAGCGGACGCCATTGGCGGTCCAGAGCGCGAAGATGCATTCATTGATGACGTCCACGGGCAAGAGTAAGGGCGACTATGCAACTCACGGGTCGCGACCCGCGCCGGCAGGGTCGCGGCTCGCCTATTTCAAATCGCCAAATGCCGGGCCGGCTCGGGACGGGCGATCTTTCCCGACAAGTGGACGCTCGCAGGTCCCCCCCAATCCGCGGAGGAAGCGGCGGTAGAGTTGCGGGAGTGAAAGCTGCCAGGCCAAGCGACGCGCTCGAGGATGATCGAGCGCATGCGGGGCCCACATGTAGTCTGTTGGAGTGCACGCAAGGCCTCTAACCCAGTGAAGGAGGAGGTTGCGAGCGCGCTTCGCACTCTGTTTGGGAATGGAATTCTCTGGTTCACTGAAGCTGAGAAGTGGGGTACCGAGACAGATGCAAATAGGCATCATCTGTATCATCATCATGGGTCCTAATTCTGTAGCCTTCGCGTGGCCTCAGAGCATAGATCACCATGACCAGGGGTTGCCAGTGCAGTTTCGACAAGATCGCTGGAGTCCGTTTCGGGGAGCTCGGGAATGTTTACGCTTATCTGCCTGACGTAAGTTATTCGAATGAGGAGTGCGTCGAAACTATCAGAGTGCTGTTCGCGCGCGTAATCTACTGCTAGAAGGTAGGGCCCAGGAGATCATCGTCGGCGGGGGCTTCCAAGGGCGCCCGCCCGAAGTGATCGACGGGGTCGCGGGGGAGGCCGCGCATGGGGCTTGGCAAGTGGATTTCAAAAGACGAGAGGCAAGAGCAGCTCATCATGCTCGCAACCGCCACGCCCAGCTGTTTCTGCTCAGCCTTCGAGGAGGCCGTGGATTTGATAGCGAATGGTACACGCACACACACGCGCACATTTCGAGCACGCGTGTGGATGGGATTGCATGCCCGCGTGCAAATGGAGGGCAGCTGACGCTGGGGGGGCGTTTGCAGGATCACTGGCTCGTGGCCATGCAGTTGCTCTCGATCGGGATGAGCCTCAACCCAATGCGACGCTCCACAAAAGGATGGGCACCTAAAACCGAGGCGCAGAGGATGTCTCACATAACCAGCTAAGAGGACTTGTTAAAATTTGACAAGAACGAGGGCGTTGCAACGGCGGTCGGCCTCGGCATCTCTGATGAGATCGGCAGCGACGAAGGCGTCGTCGCGGCGGTCGGCGTCGGCACCTCCGGGAAGATCGACACTCGCGCGGGAGACATAACGGCGGTCGGCCTCAGCGCTTCCGGGAAGATCGACAACCGCGAGGGCGTTGTAGCGGCGGTCGGCCTCGGCGCCTGCATACATTTAGACAGCGACGACTTCGTCGTTGAAGCGGTTGGCCAGGACGCCTCATGGCAGCTCGTGCACCGCGACGGCGCCGCAACGGCAGTTTGTCTTGACCCGGCCGGGATGATGAATCATGCCGCTGCGGTGGTTTCGAGGGTGGCCGCTGAAATTGAGTGTGAGAGCGCGGCGGACAGAGTTCGCGAGGTCTGCCAACCGCCCGACGAACTTCGCGCAGTCAAAGTTGCCGCTGCTCAGGCGGGGGTCTGCGGCGGAGCGGAAGATGGTCAAACGGTGGAGAACCGCTCGTCAAAGGTGGAAACGGGGGCGGGCGAGGCACGCCCACCTTGGGTCGAAGAAGATGGGGGCGCCCCTGACCGACGCGATCATAGCACGGTGAAGTGGTTCAAGACAGGGAGGCATGGGCCAAGCCGCGTGGGAATTCTGCAACGTTGAGTGCCGCGGTGAGCAGGGGGCCGAGATGAATCTGGCCAAAGAGGTCAAGAAGTGAACGAGGTGGCATCGACGAGCGAGGACCTGCCAGGCCTGGAAAATCTCTTCTCGATTGGAGTTGTGCCGGAGGGGCGAAGTCGCGTGAAGACAGGGGGCGCGCCTGGATGCGACGGCGTGGCTGCGGAAATGCGCGTCGAGCTGCCAGTGGAGTCTGTTCGCGAGTTCAGAGAGCTCTTCATCGCCCGCTGTCGCAACGGCGGTCGGCCGTCGGAGTCGTGGCAAGAAATTGGCATGATGCTTCTACCCAAGAGCGCAGGGTTTTGTCATTAGATCAGTGCGGGGAAGTTGTTGTTGTCTTGCTTATGCAAATTGTAGGACAACTGTTTGGTGGAAGTCGCGGGGTCCTTACCTGTTCTTGCTACTTGTCGTTCCTCGAACGCGTTGAGGGTATCAACCCGAAATAGCAAGTGCGCGCATCGCGGCCCGCGTGCGACATTTGCCCACGAAGCGTTGGGAGTGGCAGCGGTCGTTTTTTGACCACTTGGTCTGCGGAGATGTATTGACAGCCGCTGACGACATGTGGCCTGAGTTCGCAGCAGCAGCGATGCGGCGGCGCGACATTCCAAGCCTGCCCGCGGCGGCGCTCCTGAGAAAGCGCGTGGCAGCGGGCGGAGATCATTTTCCAGTTCGCGATGATTGGCGTCGTCGAGTACGCAGCCCGCGAGAAAACAGGCGGGGCCGACAGCGCGATTTCGGCATCCGGCTGGGCGGCAGTTATTACAATCGTGCGACATGGGCACACAATAGCCAGGAGGAGTAAAAACACACAGACACAAGTAATCGTCGATCCCCCAGAAAATATGGGCAGTGGGGGAGAAGACAAGGACCCATAACATATGGGAAAATATGGGGCATCCTGTTATTTGTGTGTATTTATCTGTGTGTCCCAAGGCCCTTTCAAATGGGCTTTTCTTCGGTGCTCAACCCAGGACACCGTTCGTGAGAGGAACCACGAGGCGGAGCAGCTGGGGGAGCGCGACGTGCGGGGCGGGGGGGCGAAGTAGGAGCGCAGCGCAGACTTGCCAGAGCCTTGAACGCCTTCTGGGCCGAGCTGTTTTTGCGATCGACCTCGCTATCGCGACGAGCTCGTCTCGGACGTCATCGTGGTCGTGTGCCTGGGATCTTGGTTTTTGGCTGTGAGACTTGGCCCTTTCTCGAGATTACTTCGTCAGAGGTTTCGTCAGAGGTTGATTTAATTTGTCGCCCGCATCAAAAAACACAACCGGGAATCCATATACTCGTACATGAAGCGAACGGCCCGCCAAGCTCAAGCTTTTTACGCGAAAGAGGTCAAAACGCAAATAGTGGATGAGCAGGCGTTCAGGAAAATCCGCAGGATCACGGGCAGCGTCTCCGGCATGCTTCGAGGAGAGGATCTTTTCGCCGGTTCGACTCCGAGGATGTGGTTTACTCGCGGGATTAGCGCGCGAGGCGAAGGTGAGTGGAGAGCCAGCAAGCGAAAAAGGGTTCACATGGTGCAGGAGGCAACGAAAATTCGCCCATATGCGACCGCTAGACAGGAACTTCGCGAGTTAGGAGAATGGCAGCACCGTGAGGAATGGAGGAAACACAGCAACTGGGAGAACATCTTGATTGTCTCGCACGGGGGGACTTGGAGGGATAACGCCAAACAAACAACTGCATGGGCGGAGGGGGAGGACAATTTTGTGAAAGAGGCCCTTAAGCACGTCAACGTATGTGGAGTGGGGGTTCGCATTATTTTCACCTGGAGAGAGCGAGCAGAGATCAAGCGGGCGGAGTGCGCTACGCGAAGGAAGGCTGATTTTGCAGGCCTGGTCAAGTGGGGGGCGCCTGGCGGTGTCAACAGTCTGATCGACGTGAAAGGGGATAGTGCCATGGCCATCACATGGTTGAACGGTGCCGCTGCTGTGCAGCATCCTGTACATGGACACAAGACAAGAAATGCTTAACATACACTGCTGAGCTTGCGGGCGTTCGGGGCGAGGGCGGCCGAGGCGGGCACAGATGGGGGAGGCACGCGCATCGGGAGGAGAGCAGGGAGGCAGATAGTCTGGCGAATGAGGTGATGACTGGGAAGGCGGATGTATGCGAAACCTGCCACGAAAACCTGGCGGCGGCGATGACCCACATGAATCCCTTGCGCGTCCAAGCGAGCTTTGACGGAGGCCAGAGAGGTGAAGGCCGATGCAGTACAGCAGCTTGTGTCGATGTCTGGACGGGGGAGGAGTGGCGCACGTGGAGGAGGCAGGGGGAGCATCTTCGAGCAACGACTTCTATGAATGCTGAGGTGAGGGCGTTAGAGTTAGCGTGTAGTGTGATTCACAAGATTGAAGAAACTGCGTGGCATTACAGCTGTATGCTAGCTGAGCCAGGGCAGGGTACTTCTAGCATTTGCGAGGCCTGATTTGCAGCGCGTCGCAACGCGAGCACGGGAAGCGGGATTCGGCCACGAGTCCAACAGCGCAAGTTTTAAGACCTCACCCGCTCGCGCGCGGCTGAGAAGTGGGGAGAGCCACGCCTGCGTCGGGCCGAAGAGTGGCCCGTGTCGGTTCCCCGCGTCCCCGATTGGGAGGCCCTGTGCACGCCGGGCCTCGTGGGCAAGAGCGGGCCACGCTCAGGGGCAACGTTAGAAGGGGGGACAGGCGCAAGGGAGGACTTGTGGAGGTCTTCGAAACGTTCTGGCAGGTCTCGAGGTCAGGGGTGGCTTCCATCAGTTCCGCCTCGTCGAGGGCGTTCCGTGGGCGCTCGTTGATTCCAGCTCGATGTTGACAACCTGAGCCGGTCGTCCCGTGACGTTCCCCCTCAGAGGCGCGGTGGTGCCCCGCACACCTCCTCTCGTCGTGACGACGGCGTGTTTTGGGTTATTTTCGGCCTGCGGGGGCCCTTATTGTGCCCTGGGGGTGTCAAGAGGCCTCGGAGTGGAAAACCTCTCAGGAGAAGCAGGGACGACCGAGGGTGGGAGGGGCCGCTCCCCCCGATGAGGTCGGTGGTCCCTTGTTTTGCTTCCGAAATCCGAACACTAGTTCGGGAGGAGGGGTCGAGACTTCTGGTGTCCATATTGCGAACAAATCGCGACGCCAGAGGTCTGGGTGGATGTCTTTTTTCCTCCGTGAAGTCGGCGGCGTGCAGAAGGGGGGGGGGGCGCTGGAGGGGGGGCCTGGGGCCCGCCAGGGCTCCTACGATCGAGGAAGTGCAGAAGTGGACCGAGGAGTGTGAATTAGCCACGGGTCCCGTTTCCATACGAAATCGGCGCGCTCCGTCGCCAAACAGGGCGGCATTGGCGAGCCGTGAAGCTGCAAGGGCGCCCTCGAGGGCGCGAAGTTATTCGCGCTTCGCGCTTCGCGGTTCGGCTTCGATTCCTCCTCTTCCTCCTCTTCTCCCCTGGGAGGCGGCGCGAGAGCGCGAAGTTATTCGCACTTCGCGCTTCGCGCAGCGCGAAGCGCGAAGCTGGGAGCCCTTGAAGCTGGCGCCCACGCACCAGATCCACGGGCACGTAGTCCATGCTAGCGTGTGCCTGACTTGCGCGCGCCGCTGGATGTTCGCCCTTTCCTCCAAGGCCGAGTGCGCGAGGTTGCAGGCGAGCATGGGGAAGCTCATAGACGCATGGAACCCCGAGGAGACACTGGCGCCGATCTTCACCACCGACGAGGAGGAGCAGACGAAGGCGCAGGGCGACTCCGACTACTTCCTGGACAGCGCGGATCGGATCCACTTCTCGGGGGTTGCCAGAGGTGTCCCCGGCCCAAGGTGTACCCAGCTTTTCGCTCCATTTTGTGACCCCGAACCCCTGGGGCACTGGGCCTCGCTATCGATGCCCCGGCGGCCTCCTTGGAATTCCTGATGGCACCCCGGGCCAGGGACCCTTCTGGCAACGCCCGAACTTTTTCCTGGAGAAGGGGGCCGTCGACTCCGAGGGCAAGCTCCGCAAAGACGTCCCGAAGGGCGCCTCGCTGAACAAGGTCGGCCACGGGCTGCACGTGGTCGACGAGGCCTTCAGAGAGTACACCCAGTCCGCCAAGGTCGCCAGGCTGGTGGCCGAGCTTGGCTGGAAGGACCCAGTGCTGCCCCAGTCCATGTACATCTTCAAGCAGCCCACGATCGGCGGCGAGGTCACCTCGCACCAGGACCAGGGCTCGAGCTAAACGATGGCTTGGCGAGTTCGTGAGCCGTTCTCGTGTTGCCTTCGTTCTGCAGCGAGGGTGGAACGGTGACAAAACGAGGGAGAGCGAGCACAGATCACGAAAGCGAAGCAACGCCGTTCAGAGGCCGAGCTCTGACCAGGACTCCACCTTCTTATACACCACGCCGCGGCCCACAGGGGCGACGAGGGGAAGGCGGGGCCGACCTTGCGGACTGGCCGCGCGCAGGCTGCCCGCGCGAGCCACGCGGCCGCGGTGCGCCGTTCATTCGCGGCCCGCGCGGGCCACCTCGCAGTGCCGCCGCGTCGTCGCGCGTGAGACCCTGAGATCCGACGCCGCGAGAAAATGCAGCGCCGCGAAAAATCACGATCCGTGCCCCAGACCCCATCTTCCTGCGGCACTCTTCGAGCCAGATCGATTTGTGATGGTCCCAGGGCCTGGTACGGGTCGAAAACTGCCGGTGTGAAAGAAACGCCACACCCAGATCTCCCTCCCTCTCAACCCCCAAGTACCTCGAGGAGGGAGGAGGAGGAGGAGGTGGAGGAGGAGGAGGAGGAGGGACCGTAGCCATTTTGGCTCAAGTACACCATTCTCGAGGTGGTTCAGGAGAACCCAGGCCCCCGAGCCACTTTTATTTCCCGCACGATCCACTCCTCTTGAAGGGACATTCAATTGTCCAAGGGAGTGCACCGCAGTCTTTTCGGCCACTTCCAGACTGTTTTGTTTTATCCCAGCTCGGGTAGTCCAACAGAGGGGCGCCCATCAGATGGCACAATGGGCAGCGACATGGAAGTGCAAATGCGGACAGCAGAATTGGCTCAAGCAGATGAATTCTTTACGCTTCGCGTATCCCCACCAGCCCATCTCACAGCGGCAACTCTTGCGAAGCATGCCGACAGTCGTGTTTTTCAGGCGTGTGTCCGCTTGGCCCCGCATATCTCCCCTGTTCCTCCTTCCTCCCGCCTCCTTGTACATCCTCCTTGTGGGGGGAGCGGGAGAAGGACGAGGCGGAGGAGGAGGGAGAGAAAGCGCTCCTCGTGATTTGAGTCGTTTGGGGTTTCTCGTCCTGGTGTGAGTCGTTCGGGCCCTTCTTCCTGGTGTGAGTCGTTCGGGCTCTTCGTGGTGTGAGTCGTTCGGGCTCTTCGTCCTGGTGTGAGTCGTTCGGGCTTCTCGTGGTGTGAGTTGTTCGGGCCCCTCATCCTGGTGTGAGTCGTTCGGGCCCCTCCTCCTGGTGTGACTCGTTCGGGCTCCTCGTGGTGTGAGTCGTTCGGGGCCCGCGTCGTGGTGTGAGTCGTTCGGGCTCCTCGTGGTGTGAGTCGTTCGGGCGCCTCGTCCTGGTGTGAGTCGTTCGGGCCCCTCCTTGTGGTGTGAGTCGTTCGGGCTCTTCGTGGTGTGAGTCGTTCGGGCCCCTCGTCCTGGTGTGAGTCGTTCGGGCTCCTCGTGGGGCCTCTTGGGGGCCTCTTGGAGCCTCTTGGGGCCTCTTGGGGGCCTCTTGGGGGCCTCTTGGGGGCCTCTTGGGGGCCTCGTGGGGCCTCTGGGGGCCTCTTGGGGGCCTCTTGGGGGCATCTTGGAGCCTCTGGGGGGCCTCTGGGGGGCCTCTTGGAGGCCTCTTGGGAGCCTCCTGGGGGCCTTTAGGGGGCCATCTTGGCCCCTCTTGGGACCTCCTCAGAAGCGCAAGTGAGAGCTGCCCCCTGAAAAGGACAAAATGAGCCCACAATTTTCGTAAAAGCAATGATTCTGCTATGAAGGAAGATGAGCGCGGCCCCCTCAGGATGCCAAAATGGGGCAAAAACCGTAGTAAAATCAACGATTATGGCTTTAAAGGAGAGCAGAGGGGCCAAACTGGGCCCCCCCGTCGGGGCCAGCATCCTCGTGAGGGTCGTCGTTTTTTGGCCCTCCCAGGGGTCAAAAAAGACCCCTGACGACACCCCGGACTCCCTGTCCAGGTCCAGGGGGAGGGGGTAGGGGGAGGGGTAAACCCCTCCCCGAAGGGGAAGAAGGGGGGTTGAGAACAGAGCGGGCTCTCTAAACCACTCACGCCCAAAGGGCTGGTGGGATTGCAGCAAGTGTGGAAGACATTGGAAGGCGTCGCAGGGTATGTCGGACACGGCTCAGTCCAGCAAGCGTCGCCAACGATCAAACAGCCAGAAGTCGAATACAGCGGACGGCCGACCATGGGAAGGGGAGGATAAGGACATCAAGGGCCCGCCATTCGTGAGGATGGCAACGCCGGCGGAAGCTCAGTCGCACCCAGATTACAAACCCCTTTTTCCGCCAAGGCCGACGAGAGCGATAACATAATATACTACAAGGAAGTGAGATCGAAGTTGAACCTATTGCAGCAGAGATACAATATCGCCTGGGCCATGAAGGGGCCCATCCAGGAGATTACCCAGCAGATTGCCATCTTGCGCAGGATGCTCATATCAGAGAAATCACTCGCGCAGCAGAGTGCGTGGACAGAGACAACGATTGCCATAATGATGCTGAGGGTCGGCACAGCCAACAAAACGGTGGAAGCGCAGCAAGAGATCCTGGACAAGAAGATCGCCATTCGAGACAACCTCCAGGACCAGCTAGGGGCGCTCCGCCGCACGAAGAACGATATCCGAGTCATGATACAAGAACCCCAGCAGGCCGAAGAAGATGCAGCAACCCAGATGGGCCTCGACATGCGGGATCGACCAGGACAAACAGACGGATAACATCGTCACATTCCTAGAGTCACAGTCGCCAATGCCGCCAGGACAGCCATCGTCAGTGCATTCGAAGGCAGGCCAGTTCCCAGTCGATCCGCAGCTGATGATGCAGAGACACATCGAGGCCCACATGCAACCAGTATACCAACAAATGCAGCAGATGCAGCTCATGATGCAGTAGATGATGACGATGACAAACCAGCAGCCGCCGACGATGCCAACTACGAGGGCAGCGTCAGCATCGGCGGCCCCGTCGACCCCAGCACCGCCCCGCGCGCCAACGGAAGTGGCAGGATCATCCCCGTCGACAGTATTGACACCGACAGAACCGATGCAGCCGCAGAGTCTCTCCCCTTCAGAGGTAAGTTCGACACCGAAGAGTCCGAGGAGGGGGCCATTCGTGCAGGATCGGGCCTCCAGGTACGAGAGCAGCTCAGATCAGGCCTACTCTCTTGGCCCACCGGCAGAGCAGCGGCGGCGCCCAACAACATCGCGCAGCCCGAGCACACGGAAGACCAGGGCTCCTACATCAGCGAAGAGGCAAAGGCGAGCAGAAGACCACAGACCGCGCCCTCGTCCCGTTCGGAGGTCAACGACGTCAAGCGACATTGTCAGAGATTGCCAGCCAGCCAGAGGAGCAGCGCGCAGAACAGCAAAGCGACCACCATCAAGGTGCCGAGCGACGGGGGGATGAGCTGCACCGCGGAGATTCACACAGACGAGTACGAGGAGTGGAAGCCAGTCTGAGTCATCTACCGAGTGAGTCAGCTTTTGCGCGAGTGCCTGATGTGGGTAGGCAGGCCAGCTCAACAATATATATATATAGACTCCAGCGAGTCACCTCCGCCACCCCCGATCGATCAACGGTCTGGTGGAATGGGCAGGCCACGTGTCGCTTTCAGTGCGACCGTGCCCGTCCATTTCGTAGGTGCTCGTTCCCTCTCTCCGCCCCCCCTCTCTTCCCGTGGGAGCGGCGGCTCGCGGGGTCTCGAACCGACAGGTTCAGGCGAAGATTCGCCCAGCCCTGTCGTGCTCGACCTCGACTCTAAGATCCCGATCGTCGTGCGGATCGCGGGCGACGATCCTGTCGGCAACATCAAGTGCAAGTAAGGACCTGAAGGCAACATACTCGCGCGCCTTCAGAGTGGCGGATGCACAGCCCCCCTTATTGACGGAGCTTATGACGGAGGTCGACCAGACCGGCCTCCATGCACGCGCCAAACTGGGCCTCGACATATGCCCAGTCGCCCAGCGCGCGCGCGGGCACGTCAGCATCTTCGTCGACGGGTCATTCGACGAAAAGAAGCTTAGTCCTGCGGCCTGGGCAATGGCCGCCATCGCCAAGGACGGAGCAGAAACCATCTCCTTCTTGGGTGTGCAAACAGGGAAGTTGTGGACATCCGTGGGGGGTTCCTCTCGACGCCCGCGAACTTAGCAGCGCGCCCCCAGAGATGGCAGCCATAGTTTGGGCCCTCTTGTGGATCGGTGTCCAGCAGCCGAGCCTCGCCGAGAGCTACACCATCGAATCGGACTCGGCGTCGGCCATCCAGATTGCCAAGGGGGCTGCTCAATCCGAGGCCCACCCTAAGCTTGGCACCCTCCTTCGAGTTTTGACCCGGGAGGCGCAGGCCAAGCGTGGATTTAGTTTCAAGCGCGTGCCGTCTCACGAAGCCCACCCGTGGAATGAGCTGGTCGACGGCCTTGCGAAGCGAGAGCACGTTGCCTCTGAATTGCGCGACCCCGACTGGGCTAGTCGCCTGGCCCCCTGCGGTAGGCGATAGTTGGTCGTGGTTGTCGCGTGAAGAGGGGGGCCGCCATGCCTATCCCCGTGGCGTTTGCGAAGAGGGCCAACTCAGTTTTGCGACCCCCGTCAGGACCCACGAGACGACTGATCCCGAGGATTTCCTCCCAGCAGATGCCCTCGGCGGCGGGTTTGAGCCCCCGCCCGCGTTGATCGGAGATGCGCCCCTCACGGTGGCCTCATTCAATGCCACCTCGAAGGTCGGAAACCCCGAGAGGGCACGACGTCGATGCAGCGCAATGATCGTGCGAAAGCAGTTGCATGATCAAGGGGATTTGGTCGTCGGGATCCAGGAAGCACGGGCCCCTGCGGGGTCTAGGAACGCCGATGGATATCACATCCTTGCGTCAGGGGGTGGCGGTAAAAAATTCGGGGTCGACGCGTGTTTCCCATTGTCATACCATACATGACACACACAATATATATATATAAACATACTTTCAGCGAGGGCACTTTTTAGTGGCGCGCGCCGACACTCGCAGGATCGTAGTGCGAGTTCGTGCGCCAGGCCTACATGTCAATTTCATGGTGACTCATGCTCCATATCAAGATGGCCAGAGCCGGCTGATCGAAGCCGGCGCAGTGCAACGATGGTTTGAGGAGGCTACAGCTATTGCACTGACGACAGGGGTGAACATAATTGCTGCTGGTGCCAATGCCAGACTTGGAAGCGTGACTTCTAGCTCAGTAGGCTCGGGGGTATGGGCCGAATCTGAGAACGTGCCAGGTGCTTGCTCGCGTCAGTTCTTGTGCGAGACGAACCCTGTCGCACCATCTACCTTCAACGAAGTGTCCTGGGCCCGTCCTGATGGCGACGAAGGTTGCGCTCTCATCAAGAATGGTGCCCACCGGCGTCTCGACTACATTTTTGTTGGCCCGCAGCTCGTCTCAGCCATCACTTGCGATCAAATGTTAGGCGATGTCGACGACCTGACAGATCAAAGCGACCATCTTCCTTGCGTGCTCGGGCTGGCGTGGGAAATCCACGACACCGCGGGCAGCCGCGGCGGGTTCGTCTCGAATTCTGGGAAAGATGAGCCCATGGCTGATGCTTCGAGTCAGAGTCCAAGCGACCAGAGGACCAATGAGGGACGAAAGCCAAAGTTTAGCAGGCATCTCGCAGGCGACGCTCACAGGGCTGCGATTTTCAAGACCATGCTGTGCGCCATCCTGCTCATGGCTTGGACCGCTGATGCCAGCGTGCAATACAGCCACTTGCAGGAGCAGATTTTACAGGCCGCTTCGGCGGCATTCCCGGTTCAAAAGCACTTTCCTCGGAAACCTTTCACAGACCCCCTCGCCATGTGCATGATTAGGTGGAGGAGAAAGAAGATGGCGATTTTGAGAACCCGAAGAGACAGGAAGGCACAGGCTCTTTACAATTGGGCCAACATGATGACGTTTCCTTGTCCCCCCGTGGTTTTCCAGGTTGAAGGCGAGGCTCATGATTTGCGGCAAGTTCTCGAAGCTCAGATTTGGGGGCGCAAGCTTGCGGCGTGGGCGTTTTTGGAAGGTTACGATTTTGATGCCTGGGTTCAGGCTCTCGCGTCGTTCTCTCGTGCCACGGCTGGTACCTTGCGAGAACAACTGGATTTAGACCGCGCTGCCTTGCTTGAGAGCATGTCCAATGAGATGGCAGACGCTGTTGAGGATTGCAATCCGCGCCGAGAGGCCCGATTTGCCGACAACCTGCAGGCCTTCGGAGGACGCAGGGCGAAGCTCGCGACGGGAGCCCTGCCGATTCGGAACGGCCATGACGGGCCCCCCTTACAATCCAATATGGAAGTTGCCAATTCAGTTCAGGACTTCTTTGCCACCATTGAGGGAATAACAACTTTGACCCCGACCCAGATGTGCGAGGTACAGTCAATATAACTGCCGTTCGGAACCCTGCCTGGAATGCCCTGTTGAAGATACGATGCCAAGACACGAGCTGAAGTTTTCTTTCGCCAAGGCGAGTAAGGGCGGAGCGGGGGGGCCGGATGGGATGATCGAGGAGCTCCTCAGATGCGCGCCTGATGAAACTGCTCGGCTGCTCCGCCCTGCTATGCTCAAGTCTGCGTTGTACGCCCAGGAACAGTTGGCCTTTAAAGGGGGATGGGCCCATGATCTTTACAAAAACGTTTGGGGCGGCCGCCGGGCACACGAGCTACCGACAAATACTTTTAATGAACAACGTGGCGAAGCATCGCCGCAAGTACATGCGAGGCCAGGTCCAAAAATTGGTGGCCAGTCTTCTTTTGGAGACCCAAATGGAGGGGGGGGGGGGGCCTGGGAGAGGCACCGACATGGCCACCCAGGTGGTCCGAACTTTTATTGAGGTGACCAGACAGAAGAGCCTCTCGTCCGTCATTGCGTCGATAGGCTTGAAGTCAGCTTTTTACAAGGTTATTCGTGCACTGGTGATGCCGAATTTGAATGATCCCGTGGACCTGGCTGGCGCCATCGGCGCCGCCGAGGCCCCCGAAGTTCTGATTCCTATCCTTGAGCACACTATGGCTTAACCAGCAGTCCTCGAAGGACCTGGGCAACGAGCGCCTCTTGAAGATGCTCGCCGGCACCCACGCGAGCACTTGGTTCAAAACCAACGGGTCCCAGGGAGTGGTCAGGGCGACTTCGGGGAGTCGTCCAGGGAGCTCCCCTGCGGACCTTGTCTTCAACCTTTTGTTCGTGCCTATCGTCAAGAAAATTCGTGTTGAGCTTGACCTCCATGGGTATCTTCTCAAACTTGACGCTCCAAAACAACTCCCTTTTTTCGCTCCCTGGTGACGCGGACATCGACTGCCTGGCTGACAGCACGTTTGTGGACGACCTCGGAGTTGTGGCTGTGGTGCACAGGGCAGAGGACCTTCGCGAGATGATCTCGACCACAGTTGCCATCGCCAGCGAGATCAATGCTAGGTACGGGATGACAGTAAACTTCAAGAAAGGCCAGTCCGCTCTCCTTGTCCAACCCCGAGTGGAGGGATCAAGAAAGATCAGTGCTGAGCTTTTTCCGACTGCTGACCCCCCTTGCGAAACTCTTGATGGCGACAAGATTTTTCTCCAGCGTACTTACAAGTACCTCGGAACGATGGCGGCCCAGAGTGGGGGGCTCGGCCCAGAGAGGGCCCATCGGAGGATCCAGCAGAAGGCTGGAGTTGGCCCCCTGCGCCGCGCCGTCTTGAGAGCCAAAAGACTGAGCCTGAGAACCAAGTGCAAGTGCGTGGATTCCCCTCGCACTTCCCGACTCTTTTACAATGGGCATGTCTGGGGGGAGCCTTCGAAGACGGAAGCTGAAGCGATGATAGCTGCGCATCTCGCCCCCTTTTCGGAATGTCTTGGGCGTTCGTTTAGGACGCCCCGATCAACCCCATGTGGCCGACGAGCAGATTCTGCTCGACACCGATCGGATTCCCGTTCCTGACGTGCTCCGTCTCATGAGACGGAGATATGTTTCTAGTTTGATGACTTCGCCCCCCCCCCTCCCCAGCTTCGGCAGCTCCTTGACATGGAGCTGGCTGCTAGAAAGTATTGGGGCACTACTCTTCGGGGCGACCTGGCTTGGCTTCAGAGGTTTTACGATCTTGAAGAAGAGCACGCCCTCTCGGCTCGGGAGCTCTTGCTCCGCGCAGCCGACAACCCAGTTCAATGGAGGAAGATAGTTCGTAGGGCTGCACAGGCGTGCAAGAGGTGGCACACCGACCAGCTGCGTCTGGAAATATGGAGAAGAGATTTGCATAATACCTGGAAGGCTGCCGCCATCCCACCCCCCGACGTTGCCCCTGAGGCGCCCCGAGAGCAGCGGTATGTCTCTGAGACGCGCGGCTATGTGTGCTTTCACCCTGGGGCCATGCGAGGTCATGTGACTAGGAGACACAATGACCGTGCTGCGAGGTTGGCTAGGAACTCTGTGTACCAAGCGTGCTGTAAAGATTTCCTCAACAGGCTCAGGTTGTTGCGACACCTGGGGTCCGCGGGCGCCAGCTGCCTCGAGATTTGGTGTCGGGCCGAGGAACCCATGCCCGATGATCTGTGCGATGCGCTTCGTACTGGAGATAGGAACCACGCGGCGGCGCTCATGGTTCGGGGTTTGAGGGCGACTGAGGCCGAGGTTCCTGTTGGATCCGTCCCTGGGGAGGAGCTCTCGCGGGCCGCTGGGATGGGAGGGCCTCCTCCGCCGCCCCCCCCCCCCCCCCGATGTCAAAGTTGAAGAGGTTCAGTGCCCTGGTGGCGCAAATGTTTGGCCTCCTGAGAACCCGCGTCGCCTGGGGCCCAGCGAGACCCGCTGCGTGCTTCATCTTTTCAGCGGACAGAGGCGGCGCGAGGAGCTCCAGGATTGTTTCGAATCATTTCAGAAATTAGGTCTTGATGTAGGCCCTGTAGTAGTGCTTTCCATTGATATCGTCAACGACCCAGTGGACGGTGATCTCAGATCGCCAAAAGCACGCGAGAAACTGACCAATTTGTTGTTTGATGCCCGTGCCGTCGGTGTTATAGTTGGACCACCGTGCGAGACATGGTCGGCAGTTCGGCATGTGGAAGTCTCAGAGGACCCGACTGCTAGGCCTTTCCGTTCTTTACAGTACAGGCCACCGCAAAGGAATGGCGACATATTGCTACAGCTCAATAACATGTGCCGAATTGCCTTGTGTTTCATGTACGTCAGTCTTGCCACTGGTGCTTGTGGAGTGTTGGAACACCCAGCAGTCACTTTGAATCACGAGGCTCCGAGCTCATGGTTTCGGAAGGAAACTATGCATATGCGAGCTCTCGAAGAACGAGGATTTAGTGTCGACCTGGTCTGGTTAGACCAATGTTCCTTCGGTGCGCAGACGACGAAGCCGACCCAGTTTCTGACGACAAATCTTCCGAGCTTCGGCCATGAAATCAATCAGATGCCCCGCCGAGGCCAATGTTGCCACAGAGCAGGACATGACATCCTGCAGGGCAAGAGTGAGCACTTTCTTAGCTCGGCAGAATCGGAAAGAGGGGTGTGAGGTCCGCGTCGTGGACACTGCTGTTGTGACCCACCATCCTCCTCTCGACCCCGAGCTTGCGAGTTTTTTTTTTGTCCCCTGGACCCGTACCTCGACGCCCACGCCATCGGGGAGTACGGACAGGACTTAGCGGCAGGTGACGAGCATGCTCGTAAATTTATTATACAGCCTGCGGATCATCCCCCTATGGCCATGGAGCGCAACAGGAGGAGGAGGAGGAGGAGGAGGAGGAGGAAGAGGAGGAGGAGGAGGAGGAGGAGGAGGAGGAGGGAGGAAGAGGAGGGAGGAAGAGGGAGGTGAGGAGGAGGAGGAGGGAGGAGGAGGAGGAGGAGGGGAGGAGGAGGAGGAGGAGGAGGAGGGAGGAGGAGGAGGGAGGAAGAGGGAGGTGGAGGAGGAGGAGGAGGAGGAGGAGGAGGAGGTGGAGGTGGACGAAGGAGGGGGGACGAGGAGGAGGGAGGAAGAGGGGGGGTGGAGGAGGGAGGGAGGGAGGAGGAGAGGGAGGGAGGAGGAGGAGGAGGAGGAGGGGAGGAGGAGGAGGAGGAGGAGGAGGGGGCGGAGGAGGAGGAGGAGGAGGAGGAGGAGGAGGAGGAGGGAAGAGGAGGAGGAGGAGGAGGAGGAGGAGGAGGAGGAGGAGGAGGAGGAGGAGGAGGAGGGAGGAAGAGGGAGTTGGAGGAGGAGGAGGAGGAGCAGGAGGAGGAGAAGAGGAGGAGGAGGAGGAGGAGGAGGAGGAGGAGGAGGGAACCCGTTCTTCCTTCGTCGCGCACGTGCGTCGGCCTCTGGCTCGCGCTGGACCCGGCGACCCTGGAGAACGGCTGCCTCTGGGCCCGGCCGGGGTCGCACCTGGAGCCTGTGCGGCGCGTCTTTGTGCGCAACCCGGCGCACTTCGAGGCCGGCGACGCGGCGGCTCCAAAGATGGTCTTTGAGGAGCTCTCGGGCAGCGAGCAGAGCCAGGCGTGGGAGGCACCAATTTCGGGCCAAACGAAAGGGGTGGATTGGGAAAGGGGGGGGTACGAAATCTGCTGCATGCAGCTGGTTTCGGCCCCACCGAGGGGCCAATTCCTCGATACATGGCCGCCTCCCGGCGCCGGGAGGCGCCCAGAAAATCAGCTACGCGAGCTGATTTTCAACTTCCCCCTTTGCTATCCCCCCCTTTCGCCAGGCCCGACAATTGCACGTTAGGGTGCAACCCCTGAGAGATTGGACTCTTCACTGCACGCTTCGCGTATCACCACCAGCCCATTCAGAAGCGTTGCCCATGGGAGTTGACAGGAAGCGGGAGTAAGGGACACAAATAGTGAAACGAAGCTGGCAAGGAGAGAAGGGGGAGGAGCGTATCGAGCCATTTTGGATGTCGTTTTGGAGCGTCGGAGGCAGGAGGAGGACAACGAGGACAAGAAGTCTTTGAACCATCTTGGGGTTTTATTGGGGCACTCGTGGGATCCTCTTGCGGTTTGGGACTCAACATGGACGTTGGTGTATCCGTCATCGAAAGCCGGCCCACTCTGGCATAATTTCTCCCAATCTGGTTTTACCCAGCTTCATCCAAGGCTCAATTTGGCCAAATCCAGCGTCATGTTCCCACCGTCGGGTGGAATACCCCCGAATCGTTCTCACGAAGGCCTCCCAGGAGTTGCCTCGTAAATGCACGCCTGCACCAGTCTTGGCCAGGCCGATCCTGAGTGCACGTGGCTCCCAGCCGTGTGCACAGATCCGTGGCCCAGGGCGGGCCTGGCTGCAGGATCGGTGCGGTCCGTGCAGCTGGCGCCCCGCTGCAGGCGTGGAAGTGGGAGGGCAAGATGCCCAGCGGCTGGGAGCCCCCGAGCGAGGGCCTGCGGCAGAGGGGCTTCGCGCCGCTGGAGTGCGAGGTGGGCGACCTGGTCGTGATCCACGGTCAGGTGGACCACCTGAGCCTGCCAAACGTCAGCAAGCTCAAGAGGGACAGCTGGGGGAGCGTTGGGGGGGGCTGCTGCTCGAGGAGGTGCCCGGGTGCCTCTGGCCCTCCTCGAGGACCTCCGAAGGCCGCTCGTGGGGCGTGGCCTCCTCTTGTGGGGGACCCGTGGAGGCTGGGGATTGGCAGGGTGGAGGGGGGAGCGGGTGGAGCAGGCGGGGGAGGAGGAGGATGATGATGAGTAGGAGGAGGAGGAGGAGGAGGAGGAGGAGGAGGAGGAGGAGGAGGAGCAGGAGGAGGAGGAGGACGAGTGTAAATCCAAGATGCATCAACGTTGTTACGATAAACCGTCCCTCCCCGTCCCTTCGTAGGGCCCCTCAAGACTTTTGCATTGCGGAAAATATCCCGTTTGAAGGCAACCGATTGAGAACTTTAATGTTCGGGTCAGCGTCACGAGTTAACGTGATTGTTGTGTCGTGACAGTTTTGAATTGTGCCAAAACGCAGTCCCTGGGACTTCATCACCGCAAATCAACGTGTCAGCTGCGTTCTGACAATCCTACATCTTGCCAGAGCACCATGGCTGAGACTTCGACCATGCGAAAAGTTGAAACTGCTGCAAACTTTCAACACGAATGTGCGCGGCGCTAAAGCAAGAGGCCCATGTTGAAAAATAACCGTCCTTCATCTTTGAAGCTTTGCCAAATTCTAAAACTAACTGCGCTCGGCGCCAAGGCGAGAGCCACGTGTTGAAAAACGTTCGCCCGCCCTCCATCTGTGCGCGAATACTTTTGAGACGAGTGTGCGGGGCGCCAAGGCGAGGGCCACATTTTGAAGACGACCCGCTCTCCATCCTTAAGGCTGCTGCAAATGTCAGGCTCCAGGATCACACATGGTGAGGAAGTCTCAAGCGAAACGCGCGGTCCGCCCTATCAGCACCTCTCGGGTACGGCAGGGAGGAGTTATTGATAAGGAAAATGGAAGGTGGAGGAGGAGGAGGAGGAAGAGGAGAGGAGGAGTAGCATGAGGAGGGGGAGGGAATCTGGGGCGAGAGGCGATGGGAATGGTGCGGTGGAGCGAGGGGGGATAGAATGAGGAGCAGGGGGACGGTGAGGAGGAAGGGGAGGAGGGGGGTGGATGGGAGAGGGGTAAATGAGGAGGAGGAGGAGGATTAGGAGACGGATGTAGAGAGGGACCAGAGTGAACTCAGGATGCGTCAACGATGCTGCAATGCAACCTCCTGTCCCAAGTCCCCGAAGACGTTATTTTCCGTTGCGGGACGCTTACCTGGAGAGACCGGAGTTTTGTGGGGCCTACCATTCGACGCGGCCCCGTTTTGCGCAGGAGCCGCATAATTTTCTAGGTCCAAGAAGTGCCACGGGGTAGGATGGTGCAGACGAGTTTGATCAGTAGGCTGACCCTACCAAATCGAGGGTACCCTCGTGTCATGTGTTTAGCGACCCATGCCTTCTAGGTTCTTGTGGACATGGGGCCCTTGGAAGGGTCTTGGGTCCTCTCGCGCGATCTCTCTAATCACACTTGACTGTAGAAGTCAAGGAGCTGTCAGCGAGAGTCCCCATTCGGAAACGAGTCGCCCTGCATCCATCTATTTGTTGCGCATGTTGATGTGATGATCTGAGGGACCCCTTTTGGAAAAGGAGACGCCTTCCATCAGTGCAAACCAATGCTGGCCAAGCGCCAACAAAGTCCCAAGCCAGAGCACCATTTTGAGGTAGGGCTGCCCTGCATCCTGCAGCGTACAACTAGCCGACGAGCTTGCAAGGCGCTGTTGCGAGAACCGCATTTTGAGAACGACTCGCCTTCCACTGTCGTAGCTCCTGGGAGCTTTCAGGACGAATGGTCGCGACGGGCAATAACCATGTTTTGTCATCGGGTCGCCATCCATCCTTATCGCTGTTGGGCGCTTTGCAGACGGATGTCCGCGGCGCTAAGGCGAGAACCACATTTTGTGAACGACCCACCCTCCATCCGTGAGTTCAAGTTCAAGCTCTGGGGTCGTAAATGGCGACGGGGTCTCAGGCGAGGGCAGCAAGGGGCTGTTTTCAAGGAGCATGGACTTATGATAAGGAGTATGGCAGGGCTGGGCGAGGGGAATTGGACAGCAAAGGGGGGCGAGGGGGCTGGCTTTCTGGGGACCAGGGAAGAGCGAGCGGGGAACCACAGCGGAAGGGGAAAGGACACCTTCCAGCTGCACCTGGTGGAGGGGCCTGGCGAGGGCATCGAGTGGAGCAGGCGGAACTGGCTGCAGTATCCCGGGTCGAAGCCCGTCCCCGAGAGCCGCCCGATCCGCCCGTGGAGGGATCGCCCTCTTTTTGTCGGCTCCACCTCCGCGAGGAGGGATCAAGGTGGAGGAGGAGGAGGCGGAAGAGGAGGAGGAAAACGAGGAGGAAGAGCAGGAACAGGAAGAGGAGCTGGAGGATCGAAGAGGAGCTCCGTAGCCATTTTGACTCAAGTCCGTAGCGGTTTGCTCGAGGACATTGAGTTGTGGCAGGGGGGGATTTCGTGGCCCCCGAAAGCTCCCTGGCGTTCGCCCGCTAGAGTACTCATACAGAACGTTCCGTGTAAGGCACTACCCCTTTCACTGCTTATTGCGCTGGCCTTACGGCCTGTGCCGCCGACCCTGGAGGTATCGGCTCTTGACGGAAACGGGGGGGAGAGGGCGGGGAGGAGGAGGAGACGGAGGAGTGAAGGAGGAGGAACAGGTGGGAGGAGGAGCAAGAGGAGCAGGAAGATGCGGAGGAGAAATGGAAAAGGTAGAGAAGGGGGAGCAGGAGTTAATGGTTGGAGCAGGCAGGGACGACGAACACGTGGGGGAGGACCAGTGAAAGCTGTCAGAGAGGGGTGAAGAAACAGGCACGGATGATGCGGGAGGAGGTTTTCGGGAGCAGCTCTCGTTTCAGGAGACTACAACACTGGGGGCAGACAGTTCATGACATTTGTGAGTGCCTGGGGTCGCAGGAGGTGCGGCGGCGGTCGTCGTCGTCGTCGTCGTCGACGTCGCACTCTTCGTCGTCGCCCTCGTCGTCATCGTCGTCGTCGTCGTCGGCACACGGACCCGAAGGACAGAATTTAACACGAGAGTGGCGTGTTAAATTCTGTCCTCGAGTCGTCGTCGACGTCGACGTCGTCGACGTCGCACTCGTCGTCGTCGTCGTCGTCGTCCTTGTCGTCGCGTCGGCACAAGGGCCCCAAGGACAGAACTTAACACGAGAGTGGCGTGTTAAATTCTGTCCTCGTGTCGGCGTCGTCGTTGTCGTCGACGTCGCACTCGTCGTCGTCGTCGTCGTCGTCGTCGTCCTCGTTGTCGTCGTCGTCGTCGTCGGCACAAAGACCTGAAGGACAGAATTTAACACGAGAGTGGCGTGTGAAATTGAGATGCCTCTTGGAACGTCTGATGGGCATCTCAGTTGCCTCGGTCTCAGGCCGGGGGTCGCCGGTCGAAGGCTCTGGGGGGCCTCAGGAGGTCGGGGGTGTCCGCGCGGCACCGCTGGCCTCCTGAGTTCCCCAGACGTCAACAGACGTTACTCGGAGGCGCGAGGCCACCGGGGTGTCTGCGACGTAGTCCTGGGGCCGGCGTCCTGGGGTCCTGGAGTCCTAGGGCCTGGGGTCAGGCTCGTGGGGAGAAGGTTGAGAAGGTCCTGGGGCCAGGTCGTGGGGTCCTGAGGCCGGAGCCTGGAATCCTGAAATCCTACGGGCCCGGGGAGGAGGAGGGGGAGGAGGAGGAGACGGAGGAGAACCAGGAGGCGGGAAGGAGGGGGAGGACAGAGGCTTAGGTAGGAAGAGGTGTTCTGAAGTGTGCGGGCTGTTGGTGGCTGTCCTCGCTGGGTCCCGGAGAGATGCGATTTCGTGACTTCGTCCCATACAGGCTCTTGGGGGGCCTTCGAAAGTACGACGAGAATCCTTCCCGAACTTCGAAGGTGAAAGGTTGGATCCTCGATCGACTAGGGAGGGCGGCGTAATGGACCTTGGCCGTCGCCCGATATTCCCCGGGAGGGCGATGTATCTGACCGGAAAACTCCCAGGAGGGCGGCGTATCTGACCCAGGACCCCCCTCGCTACCCCGCCTCGCTACCCCCTCTCGGGACCCCCCCCCCTCGCGCGGGGAAGGGAAGAAAGGGAAGGGGCTTCCCTTTGCTTCAGAGGCGACATTGCGAATCCGGGAGGGCGATGTATCTGACCGAGAATCCCCAGGAGGGCGGCGTATCTGACGCAGGACCCCCCTCGCTAACCCCCCTCGCTACCCCCCCTCGCTACCCCTCCGGGACCCCCCCCCCCGCGCGGGGAAGGGAAGAAAGGGAAGGGGGTTGGTTCCCTTTGACCGAGGATCCCCAGGAGGGCGGCGTATCTGACCCAGGACCCCCCTCGCTACCCCCCCCCCGGGACCCCCCCCCCCGCGCGGGGAAGGGAAGAAAGGGAAGGGGCTTCCCTTTGATTCAGAGACGACGAGGAAAAGGAACGGGACCCCCCCTTCCTCGCGCGGGGAAGGGAAGAAAGGGAAGGGGCTTCCCTCTGATTCAGAGACGACGAGGAAAAAGGAAAGGGCAAAAAGCGACGACGCTGCAGGGAAACGGGACAAAGGAACGACGAGGAAGAAACAGCAAACAACAAAGCCTCTTCCACACGCCGACAGGGTCGGCGGATTTCGGAGATGGTTTCTTCTCAGTTCTCGCATAGTCCTTCGCTTAAGTGGCCTGCAGGAGACGACGAGGACGGACGGGAGTGCTGCACCAAAAAGGGGGAGGGAGAAGCAATGTCACAACGAAGGTCGAACGCCTTCGAAGTGCCGACGTATGGATGTCGTAAGAATATGCCCCACTTGCGAAATGGTGCAAGCACCGCCACGTTCCGCTCCTTCAGGGCTCAGATGTTCCTCCTCATTATGATGCTCCTGCTGGTTCTTGATCCAGGCTGCCTGGGTGGTGCAGATCTGGCGCTGCCAGCATTCCAGGAGGAGGAGGAGGGTGCTTCATGGATCTTGGCAAAGGCAAAGGTAAAGGTTGCGGCTCCGATCCGTTTTGGCTCGACCGGCGTTCTGGCTGATCCTTGGCACCAGCGCCTGCTGCAGGCAAGGGGGGGGCTCCCCGCCGCTCCCCGCTGGGCCCGTGCCTGCGCTCAGTAATTGACGAGGCCACGCGGGCGTCGGTGATCTCGTTCAAGGCGGGGGACAACACGCGTGGGAAGTGTTACGCCGACTTCGCTGCAAGCGTGGAGGCCTCGAACAGGCCCGTCGGGGCCAACGTCCATCAGCACGTTCTACAACAGCACGCCGCTGTTCGTCGCATGAAGAAGCAGCTCGAGTCTCAGCTCATTCGCCTGGACAGGTGGAGAAGGGGACTCGAGCTGGAGGAGCAGGTTCGGGAGACGAGGCGGGTGTTTACTGCGGCAGGTGAGGAGTACACGGCCGCTGCGGAGAAGCTCAGTGCAGGTAGGTGTGTTTCGGGAGGTGCTGCGGCTCCCGAGGTGGCGACGACGCATGCCGTCCATTTTCGCGACACCACGGGGGGAAGCATCGATGTCAGCAGCGTCATCAAGTTTGACATGGTCGAGGAATTCCAGCAGAGCAGCGAGTACGAAATGCCGACGAGCCAGGGTTCGCCAGTCGCATGGAGAAATTGCAGAAGGACGCCCAGAACATGTCCTAGACTCTGTTCGAGCAGGTGCCCACGGCGGCCAAGGAAGCCAAAGCTGCGCATCATGATCACAAGGGACGGCTGCGCCGGAAGTGTCGCAAAGATGGAGATGATGAGGGTGTTCTTGCAAGGGATGCGCCAGCAGGTGGAGGGGCGGGCGGCTCTGGGGGCGATGCGGCCTCCGGAGGCTCAGCGGCATGGGGGGCTTCGTCAGCTCTTTAGACGCGGCCAGGCGCCGAGCCCGCTCACCAGCCTGCTGCCTTCGCTTCAGACATCAGAGCGCGGGTCGACCAATATTTGTCAGGTGCCCCCCCCCCGTTGTCTGAGGGGGTGGCTGAGTCTTGAAACAACAGGCGAATCGAGCCTTGATGAACATGCTTTGTCCGCGTTCGACTGTTTGGCCCATCGAGTCTCTACGATTGGTTCCACTGTGCGCAAGTCCGGATTTCGCCTGTCTCGCAAGATGAGGGACTCGTCAAGTGGCGTTGCGGCGAAGTTTTTTCTTCCGCTTTTTCTTCGGAAGACCCTGTGCCCCCAGTTGATCGAAACATCAAGGACCCTCGCCCCGCTCCTCTTTCCCTGGCCTGGCAGCTCAGACGCAGAGTGGCGGACTGGCTGCTGAGGCAGCAGTTGCACGCTTGCCGCAGTACGATTTTTTGCTGGAGCAAGCACGGTCATGGCCTCCAGACGGCGAGGATATATTGGCTGGTCAGCCCCCGCCCCTGCGCCTCCAGAAGCACCTGCGCTTGCTGGGCCTACGAGTTGCGGGCTCAACGCGGGCCTGCTGGTGTCGACGGTGAATGCCAACAGTTTGGGGACGTTCGAAGCCTTCCTGGGAAGCTGTTCGCTTCATGTGGTTTCTGCCTGGGGAACATCGACTTCGGGAAGCTGATGACAATGACCAGGCCCCGAAGGGGGTCAAGTTCCTTGGATGGAAGTCGCTTTGGGCCCTAGCACTGGTAGGCGACGGTGGAGGCACCTCCTCTGGGGTCAGCGCCTTCGTGAAAGATGCTTTCGGTCTGCTCTCGCAGTCCGAACTGTACGTGCTGGCAGACGGCCGCGCCATGGGGGTCATGATGCATGCGCCTCGATGCGCGGCCTTCTGTGTCTTCTCCCTCTACCCCCGCCACATTGAAGGCCCGATGCCAATCTTTCGATCCTGGAGTGTGTGGGTGAGTAAGGAGGACTGGAGTGTGAGTTCATTGTTGGGGCCGCTTGGAATATTTCTCCTGATTCGTGGTTTCGCAATCAGGTTAACGGGACTTTTGTCAGCACGAAGGGGTGCAACCACTTCCCCAGTATCGGTTCGGCTGACCGGCTTGACTATTTCGTGGTGTCGCATCCTTTGTCGTTGTGTTTAAAATCTGTGGACGTGGAAGTGGATTCTGCGTTGCATCCTCACAAGCTTGCCTCGATGCGTTTTCACCCGTCCCTGTGGGATTTAAATGCTCTCGCTTGCCGCCGCCCGCCCAATCTTTCTGTGGTCCCGCCTGCGGGGCCTACACCTGCTGCGGGCCCTTGGGATTCGTCTCTGGGACTGGAGGAGGAAACTCACCAGGCAGTGTGTTGGAGCGACGGCAACCGAGGAGGAGGAAGCGGAGGAGGAGACGAGGACGAGGACGAGGAGGGGGA